GAGACCAGGGATTACACCCACATTCTGGATAAATGCCCTGACTGGGATTCAAACCAGTGACGCTTCGGTGCACAGGACAATGCTCAACCAACTGAGCAACACTGGCCAGGGCTGGAAATAGGATTCTTACAGAAAGGTATTGCAGGGTTGCCTCCTGTATGTGCCCTGACCAGGGATTGGACCCACATTCTGGATAAATGCCCTGACTGGGATTCAAACCAGTGACGCTTCGGTGCACAGGACAATGCTCAACCAACTGAGCAACACTGGCCAGGGCTGGAAATAGGATTCTTACAGAAATAGGTATTGCAGAAAATGCATTTCAAGGATACATGCATAGGGGATTTGAGGTGTGGTGGCAAGATTTATTGGAAGGGTACTTTTGGCACTGTGCTTGGCCTGGGGCTTCTATGGAGAGAGAACATGCTACCCGGAGCCTTTGTTAAACTTTGATTATATCTCCTTGGGTTTGGGAAGGGGTAAGCTTTCTTTCAAAATAACCAGTCTCCATCCTAATTCTTCGAATCCCTTTCCTGGATTTTCTGGGTTCTGTGCTCTTATCCTATCCAATCCTCCCCCAGATTTTCCCAGGCTAGACTCTCCCCATTTATGATCCTCATTTTGGCTCCTATTGGGCATGCTTCAGTTTGCTTCATCTGGCTCCTACTGTGCACGCAAAAGAGTTTTCCCTTTTCTGTTCATCCCTTCCGCTGGTAATCGGTGAACCAGCCTGGTTATTCCCCAGGGAGATCAGAAAGCAGGTCTTTCCTGCCTGCTGGGGAGTAAGTCCCTTTGGGGGAGAATGCGGCTGTCCCCTGGTGTGTGTGTGTGTGAAGCTGTAGCTTCCTGACCTAATCAGGCTTAGCCAGTGTAGCTCAACCCTTCCCTTTGTTAATACCTAACTAGCTACCCAGGCCAACACAACCACCCTATTTCTCTCCCTATTCCTCATAGGAAATTAGCATTACTACTGTAAAGAGCCATTTTAAATATCTTCCTCTTAACACTTAAAGCAGTGAACTAAGAACACTCATTTAGAAACTCATTTGCCATTGTCTTTATATTTTTGTTCTGTATCTTACAAGTGCCCAAACTGGCTTTGTCCCCGAAGGTAGCAAGCTGGTTCTGTGGTGCTATCTCCTGGGTGAAGGTGACAAGGCTGCAATCCCCAGCTATCTCAGATGGTTCCTGGAAACACCTTGATCTGGCCTTGCCCAGGGCTTTGGTCAGACAGGGTGTTTGTGCTTTTATCTAGGTTTTAGCTAACTTTTATTCTTGATGAGGAGGAATCTCATCCTTAAACCAGGGGTGGGGAACCTTTTCCTGCCAAGGGCCATTTGACTATTTATAGCATCATTTGCTTAATATAATTCACTTAATATACATTTATATTGCTACTAGAAGCCCGGTGCACAAAAATTTGTGCACTTGGGGGGGTCCCTCAGCCCAGCCTGTGCCCTCTCACAGTCTGGGACCCCTTGGGGGATGTCCACCTGCTGGCTTAGGCCTGCTCCCCGGAGGGATCGGGCCTAAGCTTGCAGGCAGACATCCCTCTGGCAGCCTGGCAGCCCTCGGGGGATGTCCACTTGCCAGTGGGGAGCAGGCCTAAACTGCAGTCGGACATCCTTAGCGCTGCTGAGGAGGCGGGAGAGGCTCCCACCACCTCTGTACTGGCAGCTGTCACTCCTGCATTGAGCGTCTGCCCTCTGGTGGTCAGTGTGTGTCATAGTGACCAGTCATTCCCAGCCGTTCTGCTGTTAGGGTCAATTTGCGTATTACCCTTTTATTATATAGGATGAGAAAAGCTCCTAGATTTATTGAATTTCGAGTCCTGCCTGTGGTTGCCTTGGCAGGGCCAGACCAAATGATTTCCTCACCCCTGTCTTAAACAATGCTTGGAGCATAGGAGGTGCTCAATAAGTGTTTGTCGAATTGGACAGCTTTTGTGGGTTGTGGCAGGCTGAGGGACACAAGACTGGAAATAACTAATGAGGTAATCTTTAGGGCCATAGGGAGGAGAGTCAAGTTAAGCAGACTACCACAAAACTTGTCATTCAAGGTTCTATGGATTGGAACATGTTCAAAAGGACCACTGGGCCCTCTAATCCAGGAGCCAGGTAGTCACAGATGGGGCTTAGAGACAGGGAAGACTTTTTTCCTGCGAGAAGGCTGGCAAACAGTTGAAATAAGAATCTTGCCTTTTAATGGTTCTTTATTTTCCAAATTGATTCTAAACCTCTTTTAATTTGATTCCTGCGGTAACTATCATTTTAAGACATTCTATGCGGGAAACATACGTTTTACGTTGACTGTAGTAGTAGAGCGCAGGACACGTATTAATACGTTTTTTATAGACTAGCGGTAGAATGTGGGTAACGTATAAATACGTAAACTAAAGTTACCGTAATTTTACTGAACGTTGCCATTTGCGCAAAAAATTAGCAAAAATGGCCTGTGTCACCTGTTAGCGTGCGATAAAAACTACCTGCAAACAATGTGTTAACATTAGATTGAGTCTCTAGTCAGAGCTATTCGTATTTTCTTCTTTTTGAAAAAGGTTTTTATTGATTTCTGAGAGAGAAAGGGAGAGGGAGAGAGATGAAAACATCAATGATGAGAGAGAATCATTGATCAGCTGCCTCCTGCATGCCTCCCTGACTGGGAATCAAACCATGACCTTCTGGTCCATGGGTCAGTACTCGACCACTGAGCCACAATGGCCAGGCTGTGTTTTCTTGCTAGCACTAGGGAATTCATGAATCAGGTGTCACTGATTGCCTTAGTGCCACAATATAACTGGTATGTTATATCATAAGTGCACCTTGCTTTTCTTCTGTGGTCCTGACAATTTTGTAGGAAACGAAAGACTTAAAATGTCAATAGTCCTACCCAATCCTACACTCTCAGTGGATAAGAGTGTCAGCCCTCACACTAAAGAAAAGGTCCCGGGTTTGATTCTGGTTAAGGACACATATCTCAGTTGCAGGCTCGATCCCTGGCCTTGGTTGGAGTGCATTTGGGAGGCAACTAAATGATGTGTCTCTCTCACATCGATGTTTCTCTCTCTCTGTCTCTTCCCTTCCCTTCCACTTTCTCTAAAGAAAAAAAGGAAAACTATCCTCGGGTAAGGGCTGACAACAACAAAAAAATTAGAAAGAAATGTCAAAAGTAAATGTGGTTTTGCAAAAGTATTTTGCTATAAAAACCTTTAGTAAGTAATTATCACCCCCATCTCAGTTTGCTTGAGTGCTGTTTTGGCATCTTTTAAGATAAATTTATCTTAGCCTCTTTAGAAGTTCTTCATTTCACCCTAATCTGTGTTTATGAAAAGGAGTTCCTGCATTAAGTTTTCTTCTTGAAATATGTTTATTTTTACAGACAACTTGACACTTGGAAAGAGGGATTTTAAGGCCACATCTGATTTGCAAAGATTTCAATCTGAAGAACTGCTGGCGGAGGGGACTGAACGGGACACACTTCTGGAGAAATGAAAATGACTCCTCATCATGTGATTGCCATGTTTGCCCTAATGAGTTCCTGTTTAGCTACAGCAGGTAAGATGCATAATCTAAATTGCATTTTTATTATATTCTTTTGGATATATGTTTCCTCAGTTTAGGAAAATTTAGGACGTGACATTTTGCAAAACTTGAGTATTTATGTTCTTTAGGGAAATAAAATATTTGATTTCTATTCAGACATGTAGTATATTTCCTGTTACATTTTGAAAGACTGGTGCTAGACATTCTAATGTCAGTGATTCGGATACCTAACTAACCTTCAGTGTTGAGGTGGGTAGAGAACCAATAAGCTAGGGGTTAATCCCATTTAATTTTATTACATGCATAGGTTACATTTACTTTATTGTCCTAAAAGGAATTTAAAGAAGGCCTTTTTGTTCTTTTAAAAAAATAGATTTTTATTAATTTCAGAGTGGAAGGGAGAGGGAGAGAGAAACATCGGTGATGAGAATCATCGATTGGCTGCCTCCTGCATGCCCCGCACTGGGGATCGGAGCCTGCAACCTGGGCATGTGCCCTTGACCGGAATTGAACCCACGACCCTTCGCAGGTTGACACTCTATCCACTGAGACAAACCGGCCAGGGCCTTTTTTGTTCTTTATTACAAAATAAATAGATCTTCTAGATGGAGGAGACACACTGGCATAGGCTACTTAGAAGGTATTTAATTTTGTCTATTTTAGATATTTAAATCTTTAACTTTTTAAAAGGTATTGAAATTTACATCAGAGTATGAGATCGGAGATGAGAAGAAACAAATGTCTTGGTTGGAACCTTGTTGCTTAAATAAGAAGATCAGATCCTCCGTATCAGTGTCTTAGTGTTGGCAGTCAGGGTTACTTAACACACTTGAAGCTTAATCTGCTCTGTTTTGTTGTCATTTGCTTTGTGTCTGTTCTATAATGGACTACATAAAATGATTTTGTTGAACCAGTTCTTGAAACTGGCTGGTCTCAACACGAAACACATTGACTTGACAAATGATTAGCCGCTTGGTTTTGGCTATTGAATTCACATACAGTTGAGATGATAACAATGATGATTACCATCTATTGAGTGTGCACTACAGCCAGGCACTGGGCTAAACAACTATGGAATATAACAATGAATAGCATATTCTTATTTCATGAGCTCAGTTAATCACAACTCTGAGGTAGGTTTGGTTATTTTTCTCCTTTTACAGATGATGAAATGAGATATGGAGAGATTAGATAACTTGCACAGTGTCATGTAGCTGGGAAGTGGGGGAGCCAAGTTTTACGTCTATGCTCTTAACCTCTGTGCTATAGTGAAGAAGCCAGACCACCTACGAGGGCTCCAGTGGACTCAGACTAGTAGTCATATACTAGCAGTGGCACAGACTGAGTAAAAGCCAGTTTCCAGAACTTGGTTTATGAGATTGGAAAGCAGGATGTCTTCCTCGTTGCAAATATCTTGAGAGAAAGTTGCTTGTTTTTTTTTTTTTTAATGGCAGCATGTGAATTTGAACTGCCCTTTCTCTCTGTCAGCGGTTTCATTTTGTCTCATGATTGAAGAGTTATTTGCCTTTTAGCCTGTGCATTAAAACTGATCTTAATTAAAATCTCATTGAAAAGTAGTAGTAGAGAGAGGGAAATGGCTTGATGGAAAATGTGCTGTTTTGATGACAAGATGTATAATCAAACCTCATGGGTTTGAGGCAGAATTTTCTGCTTTCATTGACATTGGGGACAGATGGGAAAACATAACTGAAGAGGGTACCTCATAGTAAAGTGGTGAGTTTGATGTATTTGATAGTGAATCAGTTTTGCCCAAGACCCTCCTTCCTCTTTCAAGCCATGGTAAATACTTTTTTGAGTTGTATATGCAATCAAAGCTTTGCTGAGGTGTACAGTGAAATTGAAGGTGCAGTGGAATTACAGATTCTGTAACAACATGAGTCAACTGATCAGCAGTACAGAAGTAGAGATGCCTTTTGAACAGCCTGAGAATGAAGAAGAGAGAAATGTTCTGTAGGTACCGATACCCAGTAGCTTTCTGCATAGGCCTAGCATACTTTACAAAATGCTTTTTGGGACATTGTAGATGAGTTGAACACCCAGGAGACAGTAGTAATGATAATAATACTGAATATTTACAGAGTGATTAACTGATTACTGTGTGCCAGGCCCTGTTCAAAGTGTTATCTCAATTTCATTCTCATAACTGCCTTAGAAAGAGTGGGCACTTTGTTTATCCGCATTTACAGATGAGGAAACTGAAGCGCAGACAGGCATGGTAACTTACTCCAGGTCACACATCCAAGTGGCAGATTTAACCATAAACCTACTTAGTCTAGGTCTGTGGATTGAGCCTTTCAGTCTCACTGCTAGAGGGAGTAATCATCAGAAGGGTGTTTGTCGAAAAGGAATGACAATAGGTTTGCTCTGTGCCATCTAGTAAATCAGTGACTGAGTCCCTGCTAAGTGTAAAGTACTAGCCGCTAGATAACACATGTAAGATTCATCCCTTTGTTACATGGCATATAAAGTACAACCCTATAGCTAAATGACCCATTTATGATGAATCCCGAGTAAAAGCCACAAGACCTCTGAGGGGTCAGCAGGGGAAGCCCTGCTGGGTTGGAGCAGGTGGGGACGGCTGTGTGGAAGCGCTAGGTGTGAGTCTGCTTTGCAGGTCAGGCGGAATCTAAAGAGAGGGAGGCATCAGGCTGACCACACGGGAGAGCGTGGCTAGCACAGAACATGGCACTAGGTGCTTGATGCTTTTTAAAGAATGGGCGACCTGGAGAACTGGTGCGGCAATGTAGCAAGAGGTCTGTTTGGAAGGAAGGAGGAGACTAGATTGTACAGGACCTTAAATGTCAGAGTGAGGCTTGTGGATATCATTTTGAGGTTTGGATTCTCTCTTCCATTCCTTGTAGCCAAAGGCAAACACTGTTAATCTGAGAATTCAAACTGTGGGCTTACAAAGTGAGGCTGAGAACACGGCCTTTTTAGCTTCAAAGACAAGAGTGCCGGGCACACAGGCTGCCATTTACCAAGGGCTTGTTCTCTGCCAGCTCATTTATTTTGTCATTATAAGATAAACTATGAAGTGGGTATCAGTTTTATTATCATTATCTGCATTTTACAGACAAGTAAAATGAGGCTCAACGTGGGTAATAATGTGTATAAAGTCCCAGAGCTGGGACTTGAACCCTGGCAGTTGGCTCTCAAGTCCGGCCCATCAGCCACTCCAGCGCAGCCTCCGTGGAGGAGAACCTGCCTGCGGAATGAGGGAACCCCTGGGTTTGATTGAGGAGCCCCAGTGAGACATCCTGGAACCAAGATTAAACTCCCCTTTGGCCTCGGAAGAGACATATGCAAGTCATCAGAACCGAAGGCACACCAAGTAATGGGCCTTCTGTACTTGCATTCTTACTCCCCTGAGATGGCCATGGAGCTCTGTTGCAGCGTTCTTGGCAGCAGAAGGGTGAGGGCTGTAAAAGGCCTCCTTCAGATTCGTGCCCAGGACGGGACGGAGCGCAGAGCATAAAATGAGCTCAGGTTAGAAGAGGAGGAGGCTGCTTTTCCATCCGTATGGATTGACCTGGGCTTTTCCTTCTCTGCTTGAGGCTGAGGGTAATGGAGGCAGGGGGCAGCCAGACACATCCCACGGTCACTGGTTGCTTTGACAACATTCACACTTTCCTCCCTCCCTTGTTCCTCGGTTATTGCACAGTATTGTGGGGCGGGAGGGCCACACTAGCGAACAGGAGCTGTGTAGGGACCAGAAGGCCTCCTGATTTGAAACTACCTTAGGTTTTGGCACCTTACCTTCAATCCTGTCATCTCTCTTAAGAAAAGTGGGGAGTTTAAAAAATAAATGCTTGCTCTTATGGGTTTAAGGCTCACTACGTTTTCACTTTAAAAACTGTTGTGCTACACATCTTTAAAAAATATTAACTGCTGCCTCGGAGGCTTGCCAGAGTTTCATAGGGCTGTGATCCCAGGAACCTTAATAACGAGAAAAAGAGGCACAGACAGAATTCAGGGAAATTGGTTTGGGTGGAAGGGATGGACTTGTCTCCACTGCACTGGCCTCTTGTGCCAGGTGGAAGGGGTGCTGCTGAGGTGAGCTCTGCAGAAACGGGCGTGGCCTCAGTGCCCGCCGTGTTGATGGGTGTCTGTTTCCCTCACTCCACTGTTCCTCTGGGTGCAGACGCATCCTTTTGGAGGCTTGCCCACAACGTGCACACACATTTCTATTGAGTGAGCACATGTCTTCTTATCTCTCCTAGATGTACCTGGAATTCCAGGTATAGTCCACAGGAAAATAGAGACGTTTTTAGTTGGAGCTATTTTCCTGCTAAGAAAGGTCTGAACTGTTTGTGTCCATGGGGCAGCAAGTAGCGATGCCACCTGGCTAATACTTGGTTTAGAAGGGGACATGCTGGCAGCCTCAGGGGAGTCTAAGCTAATAACAGCACCGACATTCATTACTTTATTGTGCTGCATAGATGTTGCGATTTTTAAAAAATATATTTTTATTGATTTCACAGAGGAAGGGAGAGGGAGAGAGAGATAGAAGCATCAACGATGAAAGAGACTCATTGATTGGCTGCCTTCTGCACGCCCCCTACTGGGGACTGAGCCTGCAACCTGGGCATGTGCCCTGACTGGGAATCGAACCAGTACTTCCTGGTTCATAGGTCGACGCTCAACTACTGAGCCATGCTGGCCGGGCAATGTTGTTTTTTACATATTGAAGGCAAGACCCTCCACCAGCAAAAAGATGACAAGTCGCTCTATTGCTGTGGTCTGGAGTCCAGCCTGTAATATCTCTGAGGTATGCCTGCAATATCATTTTATATTTATAGTTTCCAAAACACTCTTATACCTAGTATTTCATTTTATTCTCATAGCAGTCCCTGGGGTAGGCAGGTATTGTGTTTTTTTTCATTTCTAGAAAGAACATAATGAGACTTAGGGAAAGCAATTTAGAAAGATGGTTCAACTCGCGGTCAAACCAGAACTCAACACACTTCTGCAGACGGGCTGTCCTGACTGAC